TACAAATATAAATATGGCAATATACGGAACATTACCTTATATAGAAATAAAAAGAAATAGAGAGAAAGCATAGAGGAAGAAAGAGAATAAGGACGCCAGAAAAGAAAATATATATATATGGTAATCAGACCTTTTCTTCTTCTCCCTTTCTCTCGTTGTCTTCTGTAGTATAGTAAGAGTTTCAAGCCATGATGGACTGTTGGTCTGCTTCAAACGAGGTTGACGACGAGTATGAAAAGCTTGTTCTTCGAATGAATCCTCCAAGGTGAGACCTTTTTGTCTCCTTTGGCTTCCTCTCTCTCTCTCTCTCAATTACACTCAACCAGTTCTTTGTTTCTTTCTGTGCTTGGAATTCTTGGCTTTCTCAGAGTTTCAGTGGATAACAACAGCAATGAAAAGGCCACACTGATCAAGGTGTTTTCATAGTTTTAGTTTTATCTTTTCATGGATATATTGATTTTCTTTCTCTGATCACTAATGTTTTCTTGAATCGGTTTAACATACTTTGAATGTAGGTGGATAGTGCTAATAAGCATGGAAGCCTTCTGCAGGTTCTACAAGCTTTGATTGATTTGAATCTGACTATCAAAAGAGCTTATATTTCATCTGATGGGCAATGGGTTATGGATGGTAAGTTTCTCCATTCATTCTTTTTTCTTTCTTTCTTTCTTTCAAGTTTACTTGGTTCTTGAATGTCTGGCTTTGCAGTTTTTCATGTTGTGGATGAAGAAGGAAATAAGCTCCACCACAGTGAAGTCACCGAAAGAATCCAGCAGGTTTGGTTCTGAAAATCATAATTCATATAGAATTTGCAAACTTGGAAATTCTTGCAAAATCTTGAAGCTTGATTCTGTTCTTATAAAGACTAGTTGAAGAACTGTTCCTTCTGTGATTCATGTCTTTCCGAAGGAGAATTTAAAATTTCTTGGTAGCTACATAGTTAGAAATTGCATTATATTGAATTCATGTCTGATTTCATCCAATTTTCACTTCAGTCACTGAGTGCAAGAGCATTTAGCTGCCTTTCATCTAGGCGATCAGTAGAAATCCAAGCTTCTCCGAACCACACTTCTATTGAACTGATAGGCAGAGACAGACCAGGTCTTCTCTCTGAAATATTTGCAGTATTAACTGAACTCAAATGCAACATAGTTGCTTCTCAAGTCTGGACTCATAATTCAAGAATGGCTTCTGTAATCTACATCACTGATCAAACCACTCAAGGAGCAATCGACGACCATGATCGATTGGCCAAGATTCAGAATCTGTTCCACTATGTCTTGAAGGGAGACAAGGAGAAACAAAGTGCCAAAACTGGAATATCTGCTGGAACAACTCATATGGAGAGAAGGCTTCATCAGTTGATGTATGAGGATGGAGATTATGGTAGAAATGATTTGAATTTGGAGGAAGGGAAGGATGGGAAGATCAAGCCAGTTGTTACTGTGGAGAACTGTGTTGAGAGGGGATATACTGTGGTGTTTGTGAGAAGCAAAGATAGGCCAAAGCTGCTCTTTGATACAGTTTGCACTCTCACTGATATGCAGTATGTGGTTTTTCATGCGTCTGTGATGACAGAAGAATCAGAGGCTTATCAGGTAGCCTTTTTGTTATTTTTGTTGCTCTTAGTTTTCTTTGTGGCTATCTGATTATACTCTTTTTTGTAGTTGTTGGGCTTTCTTTTGAATCATGTACACTTTGGGTACATTTTGGGGTTGTTAGAGCTCTCTGGACGGCTTTGTTACTACTTCTTAGAGCATCTTTCTAGTACAATATTTTAAATTTTTGTACTAAGAATTGCTTTACGAAGCAGTAAGAAAATCATCTCAAACGAAGCCTTAGGCCAATTAAGTGAAACTAACACACACATCACATACATAAGATTCAAATCCAATATCTCTTAGTTGATAACCACAACAAAGATATGAATTTCATATAATGACTACGTCATGTTGGTGCGGCTATATAATGCACTATAGTTTCATTGATAAGAAAAAAAACAATTCTAATTTCTCTTGCAGTACATAAGATAGTGCTAATTAAGGTTTTGTTTGTGACAGCTTTCTTATTGCTTCTTAAAACAACTTTCGAGTATAAAAATTTTAACTTTTATATTAAAAAGTTATTTCAAGAATCAATAAAGACTTCGTTTGGGACAACTTACTGCTTTAAGAAGCCAGTGGATGATAACAGTAAGAAAGTCATCCCGAACGAAGCCTAAATCTATATAAAACTTTTTTTTTTTTACTGACTACATCGCTCTCCATATTCGTGCAAAATCTTCTAAATTTCACCAAATAATTTAATTGTTGATTCCTAGACATCCTTAACTGAAACTTTCTCCAACTGTTACTGATTGCAACTATAGTTATGATTTCCTGTTGATTGATTTGTAATCAAAACCTTACATATAACTTCTTTAATCAAACAGGAATACTACATTAGACATACTGATGGACGCCCTATTAACTGTGATGGAGAGAAGGAAAGACTTATTAATTGCCTTGAAGCTGCAATAAAAAGAAGAAGCACTGAGGTATGAACAACTAATACCTATACATATTAGGCTTTCTTTGGAACTGTTTTCATTATTTTTGTGGTAGGAAAAGCAGTTAGTAAAAAATAATATTTTTTCTGCTTCTTTTCTGCTTTCTAAAACCGCTGTCTAGCACAAAAAGAAATTTTTGTACTAAAAAATCGTTTTAGAAAGCAATACGAAAACAGTCTCAAACGAAGCCTTAGTTGTATGACAAGTGATTGTATTGATAAGTTTTTATTTGATGGAAATATAACTTTTTGGCCGTTATATCAAATTTTTGTCATTAAAAAGTTGTTTTTGAAGAAGTTTCTATTGAATATAGGGATTAAAGCTGGAGCTTCGAAGCAAAGATCGAATTGGGCTCTTATCTGATCTCACCAGAATCTTTAGGGAGAATGGACTTTCAATCATCCGTGCCGAGGTCTCTACGAGGGAGTCTCAAGTTCTAAGTGTTTTCTATGTCACTGATGCATCAGGAAATCCAGTTCAGAACCAGACAATTGAAGCATTGAGGAATCAGATAGGAGAGAGTGTTCTTTCTGTGAAGGATAATCAGTTGTCAAAATCCACTTGTTGTAAGGATAGAAGAAGGTTCTCTTTTGGAAACCTCTTTAAGTTCAGGTTTAATAAATTCTTGGTTGGCTTGGGTTTGATAAGATCTTGTTCTTAGTACTGTTAGTGATACAATCAGGAAGTCAAAATGTTATAGTTGATAGCTTAGGATCATTGATTCAATGAAAAAAATCTCACTATTTTGTTAATATGATCTTCATTTCTTTCTTTAGCTGAAGAAACCTTGAATGTCTATCTGATTCTTCATCTTCATGCATGAAAATATTACTCATGAAATGATTACTCACAGCTATTGGAAGTGATTTGTACTAAAAAGTTAATTTAAGAAGCAGCAAAAAAGAAGTCTCAAACGAATGAAAAATTATTATGTGCAGTGTCCGGACACGTCTGGAGGCCAATCTGAAAGCACCGCATCACCCAATACATAGTGCATTGGGTGACGTGATGTGACGTGTCTGGATTAACCTCCGGACGCATCCAGACTTTGCACGTAATAATCTCTCCAAACGAAGCCTTAGTTGTATGACAAGTGATTGTGTTGATAAAAAGCCGTCACGAAAAGAGAATATCGGCGGTATTTTTGACGGTTTTGCATTTAATACCAGTGGTCGAACTGCCGGTTAATAGAGGCGTTCAACTGACCGTTGATATTCAATAAATTTTCTGTAGTGTAAGTTTCTATTTGAAGGAGAGTAATAGCAAATGTCGATAACTCTGATGTGAGAGTGACATTATTAAGACAAATGAGAATCTTGTGTTTGTCATTATATTGAATTGTTATAAAATATATGGATTTAAAAAAATATCAAGTGAATGGCTTTCTTCCATGTACTTAAATTTTTGTGTTAAAAAGGCCCAACAAATATTTCATAAATAAAAATTAATTTGCTATACTTTTAAATAATTATTTTTCTTAAATTTGTTGCTCAAAATTCAAAAATTCATCATATAAACTCATATGATGGATAAAAAAAAATATTGCATCGACATAAGCTGAAGCTTCTGGAACAAAGAGCAGAGGGTGAGTATCTCCTGTTTCTCTTTTCTCTTATGTATGAAATATATTTTTTGAAGTTTTCATTTAGCTTGCAAAAGCATAATCATGATGATTTATCCACATGAAAAAAATTAGCTTAGGAAGTACTTATTAGATTTTTTAGTTAGGTTAATCTCAAAGTTAATGGATTTGATTTGAAATTAATATAATACAAACATTCATTATTTTTTAATGTATCTCATTCATCTTAAAATAAATCCAACGGGATTGAGATCCACGAAGAACTAAATTTTGTCAGCATATCTGAAGAAGATATATTTTTTCCAAATATTATCTCAGAATATTCTAAACTAATTTCTAATCATGATGCGGGCCTCAAAACAAATGAATTTGCTTTAAGATTAATGCAATGCAAACTTTTATTGATTTTAATGAATTTGCTTTAAAATTAGTGCAATACAATTGCACTCATCTCAAAACAAATCCGATAACCTTGAGATTTATCCAATATAATATTTGATTTCTGAGAGTTTTAGTTGACTTCTGTAACATTTTCTAGGGGCACGTGATAAGCAAGAAAAGAACTATTGTGGACCCTCAGAAGGTGCAAGTTATGATAGATTAGTAGAGGTCGACATCAATGACTAAGGCCAGCTTCTTTTTAGGCTTTTTGCATATTGCAATTCCTTTGATAAAGTTGACTCAAAAGGTTGTGCCATTTGATTGGACACCAGAGTGTGAAGACAATTTCTAGAAGTTGAAGGAGTGTCTGGTGTTAGTCCCTCTGTTGATTATTCTCTTGAAGACAGAATAATTTTAGGTGTATAGTAATGCTTCTTTGAAGGGTAGGGGTGTGTATTGCAGTAGAATGTGGAGGTGGTGGTTCATGCTTCCAGACAGCTAAAGCCATATGAGAATAACTACCCAACTTATGATTTAGAGCTAGCAGCTATTACATTTGCATTGAAGATCTGATGGTGTCATATGTGAGATTTTTATCGAGCACCGGAGTTTTAAGTATATTTTCACATAAAAAAAGTAAAATATGAAGTAGAGGAGGTGGTTGGAGTTGATTAAGAATTATGATTTGGATATTATCTATCAGCCAAGTAGAGCAAATGTGGTTACCAATACTTTGAGTGGGATCTTGTGAGAGTGGCAACCCGCTTGATTACTTATGCACATACATTGATTAGAGAGATGGAGATGCTAAATTTAGAGGTGGTATATTCATTTGATTTGTCAATGAGAGTTTTCTCTCATATGGTAGTTTAACCTTCATTTTAGGATAGAATTCAAGAAGCTCAATAGATGGATGTGGAATATGTGAAGTTAATATATCATATTCAGTCTAGAAAGAGATCAGAGTTACAAGTGAATGATCATGTTATAATATTTTATGATAATAGCTTATGGGTCCCAGATATATAGTGGCGATCTAAGGAAGAAGATTATGCATGAAACCATTATTATGGATACACTATTCATCGAGGATGTAATAAGATGTATCTTGATCTAAAGTGTATATTTTGATGGCCTAGATTGAAGTGAGAAGTGGCAGAGTTTGTTTCTAAGTGTGAAGCATACCAAATGGTGAAGGCTGCGCATCAAAGACCTAGTGGATTATTACATTTATTGTATATTCCTTAGTGGAAGTGGGAGGGGATTACCATGTATTTTGCTATGGTTTTAACTTGTATATGTAATGTCATAATGTAATGTATTATTACAGTTATTACATATTCCTAAGCGGAAGTGGGAAGGGATTACTAAATATTGTGCTATGGATTTTATCTAGTACTTGCAATGCCATAATGTAGTGTGGATACTTATGGATTGATTGATAAAGTCTACTCATTTTCTGTTAATGAGTTATATATAGGGGTGTCAATTCGGATCAATGGGTCGGGTTCGGGTCGAACCCGAAATTGACCAGATGCTATTTGACACAACCCGAACCCGACCCATTTTTGCAAACGGGTCAAAAAATACAAACCGGACTCGACCCGCCGGGTTGTCGGGTTGACACGATCCGACCCAGAAATTGAAAATGCGGAAGCGGGAGCCCGGAGGCCAGATCGCATGGCTGTGGTCCACGTGGACCCGAAGGCAGCCAACTTGGGCTTGTCACACGTGCCGAAGCGGGAAGTACCAAACGACCGAAGCGGAGCGGCTACTAAGCCTAGCGGGCCCAGATTGTGGAAGCGCGAAGCAGAGCGGCTGAGCCTAGCCCTGGACTGCGGTTCTGCGGAAGCGGAGCCCGTATTACGACACTGAACCGAACGACTGAGCCTGGATTGCGGAACAGCGAAAGCGGAGCGGCTGAGCCCAAATCGCGAAAATGAGAGCCCAAACCCCATATAGCGAAAGTGGGAGTCCATATTGCTGGGTTAACGGACCTGGACTCGGGTCAAATTCAGGTTGATTTCGAGTTTCCGGGTCAACACAAACACGACCCGTTTTTACAAACGGGTCAGAAATTTGAACCCGAACCCGATCCATTTGCTAACTGGGTTGACCCGAACCCAGATTTTTCCAGGTCGGGTTTCGGGTCGTGTCAAAAAATTGACACCCCTTGTTATGTAGACTCTATTGATACGTTAACCCAATAGTATGTGAATGAAATTCTCAAATTGTATGGAATTCCTAAGATTATCATTTTTATCAAGATGAGAAGTGTACCTCAAAGTTATGGTGATGTATTCAGGAAGGCCTGGGGGCGAAGTTGAATTTCAGCATGACATTTCATCTAGACCAATGGGCATTCTTAGATAGTTATCAAATTATGAAAAATCTATTAAGTCTTTGTGTTTTCAAGTTGGGTGGAAGTTGAGAATATTAAATATATCTGATTTAGTTTGTTTATAATAACAACTTCAAGACAAGTATCAGTACGGACCCATATGAAGTCTTTTATGGAAGAAGGTATAGGACACCATTGGCATTAGCTGAGATAGGAGAAAGAAATCTAATAGGTTCTTAACTGGTGGACGACGCTACTAAAAAGATCATGCTAATCATGAAGATCCTTTTAATCAAGTCCCAATCCATTAGAACCTTCTTTAAGTTGAACCAATTAAAATTTTTAGATTTTGAGCATTGCATTCCTCAACAAATCTCAAGCATAAATTTACATTTTTATAACGTAGGCTTCGTTTAAGACGAGTTATTTACTGCATCTTAAAACAGTTTTATAATACAAAAAAATTACTTTTGTACTAAAAAACTGATTTAAGAAGCCTTAAGAAAGTCGTCCTAAACGAAGCTTTACTCTTCTATAAAGTATAAGTTTGCTCCAAGGAGATTTAGCCTATATTGTCCACTCTTAAATATAATTATAATTAACTATCAAATAATGTAATTAACTAATTATCATTAATTCATTCAAAATAAAATTGCAATAGTTTTTTATTTAAATTTAACATTAAAATAATGATATAACATATTTATTATATATATTTATATTAAATAAAATTTTAAATTAAAATTCTATCATTTATAAATTTAAGCCAAACACGCCGCCGGCGCCAAAATAGTCCTATCATTTATAAATTTAAGCCAAACACGCCGCCGGCGCCAAATTTTGGGCGCCCGCTGTTTTTTTCGGCCTCGCCATAACGAAAAATTTGAAACCGATAACTTCTTCCAGAATCGGTTTCCCCGCGTCTTCTCCCGCATCTGTAATTGAGAACAATTTGATCAACCAATCCGCGCCGCATTGAAGCTGGACAGAATCTCCTCGCTTACACTGCTAGGGTTTCTCCGCATCCATGGCTTCCCAGTTACTAGTGGAGGAAGCAAGCGATGAGAGACCACCGAACGGCTCATCTGCCGATGAACTTGAGGTGGAGGCGGCGGAAGAATCGACGCCTGGGGGGGATCAGGTGAGCCCTAAGACGAAGGGTAGGAAGAGGAGAATGGAGGAAAGGGAGGGGCAGGGGGAGGAGGACAAGAAGGGGAGGGCGTCGTCATTGGATAGGCCGTCGAGGGAGAGGAAGACCGTGGAGAGATATGCGGCTCTTTCGCCGATTAGGTCTTCGGCGAGCAAGGCTCTGGATATTCATCAGGTGAAGCGGCCGCTCCTGCTGATGCTTTGGTGTTTGTTTTGGTAGCTTTTAATTAGGTTGGGTTGCTGAAATGGGTTTCTTTCTTGTTTTGGTGTTCTAGGGTTCGGGTGAGAAGCTTAAAGACATCCCCAATGGTTAGAGACTTTTCTTCTTTCTCAATTTACTACGCACTCTTTTGTTATTTGATGCGTCTGCATTTATACTTAGTAACCTGGGATGATCGTACAGCATTTTTTTTGGATACAAACAAATAAGTTGTGTATATTTAAACTCTGTATATGATTGATGTGATATATGATTTTTACTATGAATATATAAGAATCCTTAAGCGTTTATGAAAATTCAAACATTTTGTTCTTATAAATTCAAACATTTTGACTAAGAGTTGTATTCGATAAAAATTGACTAGGTTGATCGTGTTGGTATTCTGCTTGGATTAATAAATTAAAATTTGATATACAAATAAGTATGATTGCAGAATGGAAACTCTGTTGCATGCTAAAATGCAGCGAATTGTTATTTTCTAATTCTTTTTTTTTTTTTGCTCTCAGTCGCTTTCAAACTATCAAAAAGGAAGGCAGATGATAGTCTCCGAGTTCTTCATAATATTCTTTTTGGAAGAAAAGCAACTGTAAATATGTTCTCTAATATATATATATTTTACAGTTAAATGACCTATACAATTGTTTTTTAATTTTTTGAACATTTGATAGGTACATTTCCTGAAGCGAAACATTCTCCAATTCTCTGGTTTTGTTTGGTCTCAGAATGAGGTAATAGAGGCATATTATGTCATTGTTTTAAATACAAATTTATGCACAGGTACGAGGAATGAATTGTTCATATTGTAATTGAAAAACATATGCCAATTAAAATGAATGACATGTTTCATTTGGACAATGATTGTTTTATTTTTATTTAGTTGGTTAGTACTTTCTTCTAAATTATCCGGTCTCTATAATTTTATCTTTGAAGCTTGTCCTACGGTAAGGGTGCATGTGAGCCGAGCCTGCTCGAGCTCAACTCGTTTATGGGCTTGTGAGTCAAGCTTATCCAGCTTACGAGCCAAGCACATCGAGCTCGAGTTCGAGCTGATGAGTCTCAACTTGTGAGCTCTCGAGAGCCAGCTCAAATAATTATTAATATATTTTAAATATTTTTAATTTATTTATTAAATTTAAATATTTAAAAAATAATAATAAATGCTTAACATATTTAATAAAATTTAAATATTTAAAATAATTAATAATATTTAAAAATCCCACCAAGGCTCATGAGCTGGCTCGAGCTCGTTTATAGTAGGACGAGCTCGAGTTCGAGCTTGCTTTCCAACTGACGAGTTAAGCTCTATAGTGCCAAAACTTGACTCGACTCAACTCGTTTACACCCCTAGTTCCATGTTTCTCGAATGCATGTTGATAATTTTCTTTTGCATTTGTATGTTATTGTATGTCTGCTTCAATTTAACATTTGTGATTGATTGCTTAATTGTAAGTATTTATAGTAAAGTATCACTCAGTTTTTTGCCCATTTAGCTTAGTTTTTTATTATTCTTAACAATAATTTAAAAAACTTCTCTACTACATTGCTGTTTATTTTTTAAATACTTGGTACATGCTACTTTATTACTTGGTATCACTTGTTATCATATTTTCTTTTGATGCAATCCTTTTAAGAGTACCATTATCTGCTTATTCAGTATTCTTTCTATGTTTTTTTTTTTTTTTTGCAGGAGAAAGATAAATTAAAAGTTAAGGAAAAGCTCAATAAGTGCAATAAAGATAGGTTGCTAGATTTGTCTGATTTGCTAGATGTATACACATTAAGGGTTCACAGCAAGAAGGTTAGTTGTGAGTGTTGTTGTACATTTGCCTTCCATCTGCTCATCATTACTATTACGCTTGAGTTTTATGAGTAAATTACATGCTATATATCCCAGGAAGATATTTCAGCAAAATTAATGGAATTTTTGGAATCTCCACATGTTACTAGAGAAGTTATGCTCTCCGAGAAAGTTAAGGTTTATGCTTCCTCAACCGTTAAAATTCATGCTATTAAACGAATTTATGATAAAATAAAAGCTTAACAATCTTGATTTTGTTTCTTTGATTAAATGCAGAAAGGTAAAAAGCGCAAACGGGCTGTGAAAAGAACTGGTAAAAGAACACTTGATGAAGCATTGATAGATAAAGAAAAAAAGGTTATTTTGTTCAATCTTATTGTCCAGTTTCAATAAATCACACATATTTTTTGGTCCAATTATAGACTTAGATGAATAATCTAATCATATAACATAGTTTTCCAAGTTTATTTATTTTGCAGCATTTGTTCGTTCTATTATTTCATCAATAAAAATGCATGTTTAATGACAAAAACTAAATTAAACTTCATGACATGCTTTTTGAAAAAAAAAATATAAATTAATAATTTGCATATTACATTTATTACATTGATAAATTTAATGGTCTCTGTTCTTAATTGACATTTGATTTGAGAAAACATTTTAATATTTAATTATATCATTAATGCGTATATACCTTTAAATCACATGTAAAATAATATTCAATCATACATTATGAAATAATATTCAATATTGATATTGTTTTGAATATCTAAAATATTTAATTTGAAGAATATAATGTGAAATTTTTTGGCACACAAATAATGCAAATATATACAATATTTAGCTACTTAATAATTAAGATTAGAATAAAGCAATATTTTTTTTTAAAATAATAAATTATCTAGGTGGTAAAATAGGAAATTAGGTTACATGTTACTAATATGTTTTATCTGTATTATGCACATAGACACTCACATTAAACCATTGATTTAAAATTTAATTTAAAATGAAGGGGTATGATTCTATTGTTTACGTTAAAGATTGATATTCTCTATTTTCTGGACATTAAACCTCTGTTTAATAGTAGTATATATTGCATGTGTAAAGCATCTGTCTACTTTTGTCTTATTATTCCATGTCTGAAAGCTTATATAATGGCAACGATGATTCACACTCTTTTAATTCATGAGGTGACAGTATTTTTTATGCTGATATGTCAAGAAAACTAGACTTATCTGTTTTCAAGTGAGACCAACCCCCATCCCCTCCCCCGCAATCAAGAGTTAGAGAGTATGAAGTTTGTGTCTCCAACAAGTTCTGGTAGACTAGATTTTTTTCCAGTGACTCATTTTTCATCCTATTGTTGACTGCCTCCGCATCAGCTATACCATGGAAGAGGTATCTTAGTATTTTATGGATTTGTCACTCGTTAATGAGTTGAAATTGTTAAGTGTGCTGAAATATGTACCAAAAGGAAGTTTACATAAACCTTCTAAATGTCCTTTGTCATTTTTGTGGAGAAATTACTACGTGCGGAATCTGGATGAGAGATGCATTCGGATTTTGTGAGGGTACATAGTAAATACACAACAAAAAATAAAATTATGTATTTGCCATGCATTTAATGTGTATCCTCATAAAATTTGAATGTATCTCCCATATGGACTCCGCATGTAATAATCTTTCCATTTTATGGGTGTGTTTTAGTCTTCTATTTATCCACTGCCATGTGGCATTTAATTTGCCAAACCTAATAGTTGTAATAAGGCTAATAATGATTATTTGTTTCTTAAAACTACCAATATTCTTCTGTTAAGAATTTTCAGCCTTCAAAATGTAAGGTGGTGATGACTATTTGTCTTTATGTGACTATTTATAAATAACTACTATTTCCGCTGAAATTGTCTTCATATTTGTATTTAACTTTTGGAGTATTTCTGTGTAGCAGATAGCTATCTCTGCCATCATTTTTCACTGTTTATGTGGTTGTATATGTTCTAATTTTTCAACTCTTTATTGCTCCAGTTTTCAATCTCACCATTGAACTTCAATTGGACTTATTATGTTATTCCCTGCTGATTTTTTTTGGAATTTGTTACAGAGAGAAAAAAGAAGTAAAGAACCTGCTAAAGATGAACAAGAAGATGAAGGTAAGGTTGACTCAATCGACAGAGATAATGAATCTGCAGATGAAGATGAAAGTACTGATGGAGAGGAAACAAGTGAAAATACTAATAGTGCGGAAGAAGATGTGGAAGATGAACACTCTTCTGAATTGGCCAAAAAACATTCGGATGTTGAGGGGGTTGATGAACATGAGGAGTTTGAATCCAAACAGCACTCCCCTGTAGTAAGAAATGCTTCTCTTTCAACATCTAAGAAAGGCCCATCATCTTCCAAAAAGAAGCTAGATAAAGAAAGTAAATCCAATGTCTCTTTAGAGAGTAAAATAGATAATTCTAAAGATACAAATGGGAGTTCAAACATGAGCAAAACATCCAGGAAAGATCTGTCTTCTTCCAAAAAGAAGGTTGACAAAGAAGGTAAACCTAAGGTCCCTTCAGAGAGCAAATCAACTATTTCTAAGGAAACCAAGGAGAGTTCAAACATGCGTAAAAATTCTAAGAAAGTTCTGTCACCTTCTAGAAAGAAGGTTGATTCAGAAGGTGAACCTAAGGTTCCTCAAGAGAGTAAAGCAGTTTCTTCTAAGGATACCAAGGAGAGTTCAAAGATGAAGATCAAAGCACCAATAAAAACTGATTCGAAGGATAGTTCTAAAAGAAACGTTTCAGTGAAGGGTGATATTTCTAAAAAAGCTGATAAAAAGAAAGGAAAGAGCAATATTGGAACTCCCTCTAAAGACACGACAGTAAACATGAAAGAAGTTGCAAATACGGAGTCAAATAATGCAGAGAAGAAGCGAGGTATAATGCGTTCAAATTCTGTCAATTAATGTTCTACTTTGGTTACTGTCATATCTGTAAATTTATTAATCCATATATAGATATGATACTTGAGCATAATTTTTCTTACCACGCCTATATTTGATTAGTCTTAGGCTTTGCTTGGTTAGGCTTTCTTCTTGCTTTCTAAAATAGCTCTCTAGTATCAAAATTTATAAAATTTGAAAATTTTGTACTAGAAAGTCGTTTTAGAAAGCAATACGAAAGTTGCCTTGAACGAAACCTTGATGATAGACAAGTAGACATGCTATTTTCATATTCTTTATTTTGGTGGTCAGTAGAAATAATATTTGCATTTTCTTATTTTAGTAAAAGGCGATACTTTTTTTTGTTATTTACATGACTTTCTCCCTTTCAAATTTTGCAAAAAGTTCATTTCACTAATTTACCAACTTTGGCCTGATGAGATTACCATGCTATCAGGAAAGCAATCAGACCTCTCTGTTGTGCCCAGTACAGAACAGTTATCTGCTGTGGTGGGTAAAATACTGAAAGAAGTAGACTTCAATGTTGTGAGTATTAGCGCTTTTAACATTGAGGCTTCCAGTTTTTCTGCATTTGGTACATGACTTACTAACATATGCTTATCATGCAGGCTACCCTGGCTGATATTATCAAGCAATTAGGTATACTTTCATGCATTCATAATTCCTTGATGCTTATTTGTTTAAATCCTTAGGGGTTGTTTGTTAGCACTTAGGATTTGATTTAAGTAGCATTTTGTAAATCCCCTAAATTTGGATTTTGGAAATACTGAGGGGCCTAAATTTTGAAAACTGTTTGGTAATATTCATGATAAATCCTATTAAATCTCATGTGACTGTTTGACTATATAATGGATTTAATGAGCGGATTCTTCTTCTCGAGCCAACAAATTTTGTAAATCCGACAAAAAACAGGAGTTAAAAAATCCGGGATTAGCACAAAAAGTTGGAATTTTCCGTCTATGGTGGCTTTCATTTGTCGTGAGATTTGGTTTTGCATTTTAGGTCATTTGGCTGGATTTCACTCAAATCCGCCTCAAACCTGGCCTAAATCCTACTACCAAATAGCCCATTAAAATTTTCATCAAATTTCTTGAAATCAAGCATCACCTATCAATCAATAATATATGCACAAATATACTTAAATGCATGCATGTATGCATGTATATAACTATAATCAAATTGTTATCAAGATGAGCAAAATTGAACACTTGCTTATTCCTATTTGACCTATTAAACAAAAGAGTTTATGAAAAACTAATTGAATTCAAGCTAAGTATTGAGGCTAATATGATTAACCTAAATATTGAGTTTTTCTAACAATATACTCTGTACTGATTTACAGGCGCTCACTTTGATACTGATCTTATGGATAGAAAATCAGAGATAAAGCACATACTTGAAGAAGTGATTAATAATATGATAGATGCTGAAGATGTTGAGGATGACCATGGAGATGGTGATGGTGATGATGAAGATGCTGAGAATGACCATGGTGATGGTCATCATGAAGATGCTGAGGATGACAATGGTGATGGTGATGATGATGGTGATGATGAAGGTGAGAAGAATTGAATGGGATTGAATACTTGGTAAATTTTCCTCAATATGTATTTTTTTAATTTACGAGCGTGCTTTTGTGAATCTTTGTGTAGTAGCATAAACTCTTATATAGGTTGTCTCTTTTTTTTTTTTTAAATGTCTATTTATTATGGTTAGAAACTTGTTTGAATGTGCACAATAGTTTAGTCTTTTTTTCTTATTGAGTGTACCTATGCTTATTGTTAATCCTATTATTTTAAGCTTCTTTTTTCTATTATACTTGTGCTTTATTATTATAATAATAAATATTTTAATGATTTAATTATATTTATTTTTCTTTTATAATGAATAAGTTGGCTTTTGAATCCTCCATTCCCTCTCAAATACCAAACATACATTATAAGCATAACAAATTAATATTTATATTTTATTTAATTCATTAATGTAAAGTAAAAAATTAATTGTTTTTTTATATTTGATTATTCATTGGAGTTGTATTGAAAAATAATTAATGGATATTTTGGAAATATTAATGCTTTTTTTGTTGCAATGTTTGGATGATGTGTTTATGTATGTCAAAATATTTATGAATATAATTAAAAATTTTAATAAAATGTTTGATTTTTTTTTTGTTGGAAATTTAGGGGGGGGAAATCTTGTGTTGGCTTTATTAAAAAAAAAAAATCAAACCAACAAATAAATAATTTTAAGAAAAGAATAGTTTATATGAGTTATTTTGTGTTATAATTGAATTAGTGGGTTAATCTGATTCTGACTCATTTAATAAAAGGTTCATAATTTTGAACCCAAATGTAAAACATCAACTGATACATATATTAATGATAAGAGCGCAAATTAAGTCCCTTTACCTTAGATTAACTTGGCTGAGTATTGATTTGTCACTAAAAATAGCCTTGATAAGGCCACAAATCTTGAGGTATATTCAAATAGTAATACGGAAAACGT